TATAACATTTTTGCACCACACCAATTTTGGCTATATATCATGGGATTTTTATTTTCTTTTATATCTCTTCCATCTCGTATATACCATTGAAAGAGGTCTTGAAATAACAGCATTGGGGTTCAAAGAGTTCAGAAAGTCTGCATTGCCTTCCGCAACTACTGCGAGGAGCGAAATATTGAAGGGTAAGTTTCTTTTCAACTAATATTTCAGATTGTTTCGGTGTAGCTTTACCCCACAAATTGTTAGTTTCAATCCTAAAAAAGTATTGTTATCCACTGTTTCATGTTTCTGGTGTCAAATTGGGTGTGGTGTAGGTGTCAAAAATGTCTTCAGCAAGTGAAGAATGAGTACTCCCTGGTGAAAACTAAGCTTGAAACTCTGTTCAAGGTAAGAGGAAATAAGAGAAAAAAGGGCGAAAGAATTTAACTTGTTAAGAATGAACATTGTTTCACAAGCAACTGATTTCTATTTGTATGATTGCAGCTTGAGCAACAGGTTTTGGCAGCAGGAGGGTCAATTCCTTGGCCAATGTGATGATGTGAAAGTCTTTGCAGAAGATCATAGCTAGAGACAGCTACTAAAGTGGGATTTTGGATATGTAAAGAAGCTTTTGTTCTCTTCCTTCATTGCTCTACTTTCTTTCCACATTTCCTGTTGTGTGATTAAGCTATCTAAATAGTTCAGATTATTTTAGCTTAAGTTTGTATTATATCCAACGCATGGGCAGTGATGAAGAATGTGAATAAACCAGTACTTTGTTGGCAATTGCTCTTCCTTCTGCTTAAGGAAATGGTATATTATTACTAATGGCCATCTAATCTAGTGGTACTCTTTCCACCATGACGATCAGTACTCAAGTTTAAATCAGCTTTGTTGTGTTAAAAAAAGAAAGAAAGGAAAGGAGATGCAGATCAATAATGGAAGATAGACTTTAAGATACCATCTAGAGAAGAACTTCATTTTCTTCAACAGTAGAGAAGAACATCTATGCTCCTCGATTTGTCTCATTCTTCCATTGAACTTTGAAAGCCTATGGACGAACTGTAGTTTAAAGGTAGATAGAGATGCATTGTTGCAAAACTGAGTTGTAATTTGTACACATTATGTTTGGATGGAAGAAGGGTAAGGAAGGGTAGGGTTAGCAAAGGTAAGTGATGGAAGGGAATGTTTTTATTTCAACCTTTTCTCTTATTTGGATATATAAGAATGTATGTAACTAAGCATCATATTAGTTAATTTTTAATGGGTGGATAAAAGTTGGAAATTTCTTCTTTTTTATTTATTTATTTCTTAGTGAGGTTAGAACTTTCACATGTTTAAGGAAGGTGTGAAGTTTTTGTCATTATAGTCATCAGATAAAGTAATGAAATCCTCACTCAACCAATCTTGATGAACCTCAAAAAGCCAATGTGGTTGTGCACCTCAAAACCACTCCAAACTCGAAGGCTTTAGTCCTAAAATATTGTTGACATCAGGATCAGTGTGGTAGTGTAGTAATACGTGGTTAAAGCTGTGTTTTGCTTCAATCATTGTTTTGAAAGTATTTAGTTAATTAATACATTATAATTTTACATGGATCTCACTCAAAACTCTCCTTTAAGAACTTAATTATAAAAAATAATAATTTATAGATTTTTTTAAAACCTCCTTTATCAAACACAGTAAAAGTTATCACAGATCAAAACACTAATCAACACTAGCTGCTAAACAATCCTCTTTTATGGACACAAGAAACTGAACTGTTATAATATTGTCTATGACTGATTTAATGGCTATGCTTCAATTTGGATGAAAAAGATTGGCTGCCATGCTACAACAAGGACGAACACACACATTGGCTAAATAAAAATGGTAGCCATCGACCAGTGCCTCTATCAAGAAGATGTCATACTGTTTTTTATGAGTACATATGGCTGGTAATGTATTTTGATATCAATTATCAAAAATAAAGAAGAAAGTCCCATGTTGATGGGGTGATTCGTTTATCTCCTGCAATATATTTTAAGCATACATTCCATAATCCCTCTATTACGTTCAATGAATGGATGTGTTTTTTTATAAGGACAACTGTTTTCATATGAGGTGGGATATCTCCTGGTCTGTAGGTATCTTGAAGCAAAGTCCAATATACATGCTGTAATGGCAGAGTTCTGTATTTATTAGCATGGTTCTTGTTTAAAGCATTACTAACCAACCATTTGACTTCGTTTTTTCTCTTCCAGTTCATGACATAGTTGTGAATTGGTTTCATATGTTTCATGGATTTTAGGCTGAACGAAAAGCTCACAGGGCATGTGTAAGTTTTGAAGATGAGTAGGGCTTGCATCTGGATCTTATCAAATTCCACACTCTGCAAGGAAGACTGTCGATGGACTAAACTCCCATTAGTGACCATTAAGGAACTCATGGAAAGGCTAGTTTTGCTCAAAAAATAGGAGTGGAATAAAGTGGTTATTTCTGATTTAAAAACCCTAAGCAAATTTGGCAGAGTGAGTTTCCAGATGGACAGATTCTAGCATGTGATTCGATATAATATTTCGTATTGAATGCAGAATGCATGTCTCGTACTCTTCAAGTGTAGTCTCAATCTTGGTATATTATATGATCCTAATTTTGTCAACAGGCAAGCAAGTGCATGCATGTAGAACTAGAACCTTTAACTCCCACATTTTGTACTTAACAAAAGGCAACAACCAAAGTGTTTTCAGGAACAAGTACTGTGCCAACTTGGAACAATCTGCTAGACAAGTAATTTTATAGGGAGACAAGAGCATGTGCTTTCACAGACATGAGCAATTTCATGCTTTCCAGCTGAAAATACTTCATGTGGTTAAAATTTGTCCAGGCAGGTTTGACAGCAGGCATTCAAAGCATGATCACATTAGAGAACATCAGGATTAAAGACATCCATTGGCATTTTTCATTACGGGTAACTGATTTGGCAATTTTCTTTTAAAGCATTAATTATTCTGGGATTAGAGAACACCAGGATTCAATGAAGAGGGGTTCAGAAAATTGACTGCGAATTGTTAAGCATTGCTAGAAAGTAATATTTAACTATTCTTGAATTCAAGAATTCAAATTTTTGAGTTGAGATAAGTTTTTGACATGCTATCAAAACATTAAAGGTTAGGAGAGGGGAACTATAAGAATTTCAAATCTTATCATTTCTATTTTATCTAATTAAACTATAAAAATTAAAAAGAAAGGTATGGAGGGGACATGCAGAGGCCAAAGGGTTAGGAGAGGGGTTAGAAGAGGAGTTTAAGGAGCTAGTATAGATTCGCAGCGTTGCGGGGAGTCACTTTTCTTCATAGCTTGACAAAGATGAAGAGGAAAGCTTGTAAAAATATAAAAGCAAAGGTGGTTAATTTCAAAACACTGCAAGCTTATATAATTATTAATTTTACAATTTATAAAATTAATCAAAATATATATAAATTAATTCAGATATTTACATTAATTAAAAAAGAAAAAAAAAAAGAATCCAGCTACGTTGTATCCTTCAAGCTTCTACCCTGAATCTTTGAGCTTTTGTTGTCTAAATGAATTCTATGCTTTAAATTTGTCGATGGTCCATCAATAACTTTATTGATTTGGAATGCATTGTATATGAATCTAGCCCATCAATAATCGTATCATTCGATTCCCATAAACTCATATGGCAGATGAAATGAGAAATTATTAAGTATATTTGAAATTGTATTCTAGTAAAGTTTATCATAAGTTTCTCCTAGATTTACTAAATAATTCATCGAAACTAGTGTTACTTGTTCTAAAAGCAACAATGCATGAACCAAAGAGAAATCTATTAAGAGAGGAGAAAATCGAATACAAAAAATTAAGTTTCTAATTAAGACAAGTTGATGAATTGTGGTTGGATAAATTGAGCTTGTAACCAATAATTATCTAATCTCATGCCTCAGGATTTCAAGTGCAATACATAAACCGTAAAATTAAATTTCTGATTATGATTTTTATAAGGATTAGTGAATTGTATTTGGGCAAATTCTGAACCTTTAATTAAACAATTATCTTATCTTATGCATCAAATTTTCAATTGCATGCATGCATCATTTTGATTTGATCTACTTAATGGAAATCTAGATTGATTTTTAAATAACAACATTTTAACTAAAATAATTTAATTTTGATTTTATCTAATTTAATGGATCACCAAAACATGAATTAAATTATTCATGTCTAAACTAAAGAATTAACGCAAGAATGAAAGAAAAAAAAAGTTTTTAAAACGCTAACATTTAATATTTTAAATTTCTAATGTTACTAGGATTTTATTTTAAAAAAGAAAAGAAAAGAAATCACAACGGTTGTATTTTTAGGCATTTAAAAAAAATTAATTTTGCAAACTCACTTATTGGGTGAGATTTTCAAACAAAATCACAAAAAACTTTCTATAAAATAAATACCACTTGATAAAATACATATATATATATATATATAATATAACATCAACATTACTATTCAAATTGATCAAAATTTTGGAATCACAATTTTCATATGAAGTATCATACCAATTGAATTTTAATTTTGTAACAATATACCAATTGAATTGAGCTAAAAATCGTGGTTCAAAAAGGAAAAATAAAATAAAATTCATGCCTATCCTCCTTCCCACGTGAACCTAGCAAAATTTAACATCATTTTAAATCAATCAACAAAAAATTAGATCTTGAAATAATTTCTTAAAAAAAATCTAAAATAACACCATTTAAAAAAAAACATATTTTTCACCCACTCAAACCAAATTAAATCTTAATTTAATGAGTTATTAGGTTTACTCAACAAACTTGTTCTTGCAACTATGCTAGAAAAGACTCATGTTTTTATTTTTTCAAAACATGTAATTTTTCAAAAACCTTTTACATTACCTTGTTGAAATTATAAAACACCCACCCCATCATGTTTTCAAAAAACCCATTTATTTTTTTTAAATCTTCCAACGTTAATAAAACAATTGAGATTCCCTATCTCCTTTGGGCCTCCATTTTGGAACCCTCAACAACTCTTCAACTCTCCCAAGTTCTCTCTCTCAAAAAACCCCTTCGCTTATATTCCTTTATCCGTGCCTCTTGTCTCTTGATCACCTCAGCTTTTTCTCATTTCTCCACCATAAAAACCCTAGCAAAACCCTAACCCTACCAAAAAAAAACAAGAAAGGGCCAAAAAGAAAGTGACCCATCAAACCCAAGACCCCAAACAACAAAACCCACAGGATCAAAATCAAAACTTGACCACCCAACACCAACACCAACAACCCTCTATGGAAGACCCTAATGACAAGTTTCAATCTTTGAAAACTGTCAATGATTTGCTTGTCAAGGAGGCAAAACAACGCAGACAACAAGTTGAATCTCTGGTGAAAGCTAAGGAGGCTTTGGAGACTGAGCTGGCTCTGTATTGTAAGGAAAAGACTGAGTTGGAGTGTGAGTTGGGTAAAATCAGTGATGGGAGGGTGAGTTTGGAGATAGAGAAGGAGCTATTTTGTGTTTTTATCGAGACCCGGATGGTTGAAATGGGTAGTTTTGTTGATGGTCTGGTGGGAGAGAAGAGAGAGAAGGAGAATGAAATTGGGGCCTTGGAGAGTGAGGTTAAGGGGTTAGTGATGAATGTTGAGACTGAGAGAGATAGATTGAGTCGGGTTTATCGCGAGAGGGATTTGTTGAAGAGTGATGTTGATAATTGGATGAAGGGGGCTGATGGTTTGAAAGATAGTGTGGTTGAATTGGAGAAAATGGAGAGTGAGAGTGAGGAAGAGATTGAGAAACTTTATAAACAATATGCTTTGTTGCATAAGGAAATGAAGGACGGAGAGAAAGAAATTGAGGAGCTTCAAAGATTGAGAGGTTTGGCTGAAAATAATTTGGTGGAGAAAGTGAATGAAATTGAGGATTTGAAGAGAGAGATTGGACGGATTGAGAAGGAAAGGAACGAGATTGCTGGCGAAAAAAGTGAGCAGAAGATGAAGATTGGTGGGTTGGAGAGAAAAGCAGGGGAACTTGATGAGATTGTATCAAGTTTGCAGAAGGAGAAGGGAGTTTTGAGCGGAAAAGCTATGGAAATGGAGAAGAGTTTGGGGCTGGCATTGGAGAAGGAGGATGCAATGGAAAGGGAAATTGATGGTTTGATGGAAGAGAAGAAGGAAAAAGAAAGGATAATTGTGCGTTTAATGGAGGAAAAGGATGATGACTGTAAATATAAGATCATGGCTTATGCTGAAATTGAGGATAAGAAAGGATTAATTGAGGAATTGTTGAGAAAGAAGAATGAGATTGAGGAAGTGAAAGTTATCGAGGAGGGTGAAATTGTGAAGCTGCACGAGGAGGTGGGTCAGCTAAGGGGTGATATTTTTTCAATGCAAGAATCGATCAAGGATCAAGAAGATAAGAACAAACAAGTAGTTTCTGAAGCCAGTCATTATAAAGATGCTTTTGAGAAAGTAAGGCTTGAGAGGGACACTGCTCGAAAAAGTTCTGGTGAGGAGAGAAAGAACGCCATGAACTTGAGGTCTAAAGTTTTGGAAATAGAGAAGAGAGTTGAAGAAACTGTGGAGGAACTTGCAAAGATGAAAAACGAGCATGAGAGTCTGGTCTCGCAAAAGAAGGAAATGGAAAGCCAAGTTGCTACGTTGGAGAAGGAAAAAGATTTGTTACAGAAGCATTTCACAGAAGCAGAAGGGAAAATAGACGAGTTGAGGACCAAAATGGAATCCGCTGGTACTAATTATGATAGAGCACTAACCATGCTAAAGAATACTGCTGCATTGTTGTGTGAATCAAACAATGTTAAAGAAGATATGATTGTCACTGAAAAGATGCTTAATGGTGAAATCGAACCGTATGCAAGTAGGCTGGAAGTTATTAAGACTGCATTTAGTAACAAGCAGACAGTAGTGGAGGAGATGAAGCAACAATTAGAATTTCTGCAGAATTCTGTGGCAAAGGCGGATAAGAAGAATAGCCTTTTAAGTCTGTTGTCTTCAGCAACTACAGTTGTTGCTGCAGCAGTGTCTCTTGCATATGTTGCTAGATTACGTTGATGATCAATTTTTTGTTTCTAGGCATGTTGCTTAAGTTCTAGAATTAATTCATAGTTAATCAAGCTCTACCTGACAGCAGAGTTTGCCAGTTTGTTACTCTTTAACTCTGGTTTTAGCCAAGACATAAACTTGGCATTGCGACAACTGGAGGTTTTTAACCACCATTTCGAGTATGATGATGAATATATTATCTATTTTCTGCACCTTGTTATATGCTTTGCTTGAGTTTCTTCTTTGATTTGTTGGATATGTTCAATCACACCTGGCGTAACAAGCAGGGCATGTTTCTGGACATTATTGTGCTCTACTGCAACTATAGCGGTTGGATTTCATGTTGTGATTCGGATATCATGTTGGCACAATATTGTATCATGAAAAATCCAGTGATTGTATTCCATATAAGCAGGATCCCAAATTGCTTCCCTAGTTCTTTTACGAAAATCATGGGTTTGGAGGATGCAACTACGCTATCAGTTGCTCAGTTATTGTTATATTTTTTTTTTTTTCCCTTTATCATTTTTGTTAACCTTATCCTTTGGAATTCTTGCACCGAAAAAAAGGTCAATCTTCTGGAATTTCTGTTGCTATCGAAGTACGACATTCTATTTCAATTCTCAGAGAAGTTTCGTTTTCTAGGCAATATAATTGAGTATAAAATTCTCTTCTAAAATCCTGGACACCGCTTCTCTCATGATTTGCTCTTAATGTGAGGTGCCAATCCTAGGCAAGCTGTATTAGCTCATCTGCAACGTTGTGCTGAGCAAAGCATGTTGGTGAATGTGAGGATGCAAAGAAGTGGGGATCTTGAACACCTCTTTAGAAAACGCTGTTAATTTTCTGTCGGATCTGGTGGAGTTCTGAATCAGTGTTTTTAGCTCTATTTTATGCTTTGTCAGGCACACTTCTAACCACAAGATTATGCATTAGGGTTTCTAGAAATCATAGCAGCATATAGTGCCTTCCCTTTTGAGTCTTTTTCTCCCTTCTCGGGCCAATAATGCTGAGTGACCTGGATCAATAGTTCATCATCAAAAGGGATAAACCATAATCTTAATGGATTTCTAGCACAAACCCTGGGTGTTGTCCTATTAGCCATCCTACTCATATCTCATTAATTAAAGATCCCACTTGAAGAAGCGACCTATCGATTTCTGTAAGAAAACTCTCCCTGAAAAGGGCTAAAACAGTTATCTATTGATAGCTAAACTCATTAAACAAGCATTATTCCAACCATTTATGCAAACCAAACATAATTTTGTTGGTTAACGAGATCTAACCATTTATGCAAACCAAACAAGATTTCCAAACATAATTTTGTTGGTTAACGAGATGTTCTGCGGGTTAACAAGCACTCACTAAGCGACTGTTATCACAGTGCAATCTGCGATTGCATCGCAATACCAAACATGGCCTTAACTTGTGTTTCCTTTTTGTCCATTGATATCAATGAACAAGCTAGCACTGTGATTAGCTTAACTTTGAGTCTCCAAAGACAATCAAACAAGACTTTCATGTCTTCATCGGGAGCTAGCTGTTCTCTTGCCATTGTGCAAACGAGGTACTAATATTCCTTTTAGTGATGGTAAGTGGTTTTAACGAGGTCCCTTTGGAGATATCTAGGTTCCAACCACCACTGAATGGGCTTGTATCTATCGAAACAAGCCTTTTTTTGTATTTTCTCAGCCATTCAAACCCTCAAACAAAGCATTAAGAACAGGCCGTCAAGAAATGCCAAGAAGGAATTAAATCAATCTTCATCAAAACCAAAAATGGAGTACATGAAATTTGCTTCCAATCATTTGCTGCAATTTCTCCGGATTGTTATGTAGGGATAGATTGAGGCCAGGATAACAGAATTAGTGGACTCAATGGCAGCACGTTTTGATGCCTTTTTCCACTTGGCTCACAATTATCTCAAGACAAACTAAATTTCTGGTGCTAAATCTGGTGTTAAACCCTTTCATGTGTAGAAAACCACTATATGGAAGCCTCTTCACGTCATAAACAAGAGTATTTTTAGTAGCACGTTCAAAAAAAAGATTATTATTTACATTTAAAAAATTAATAGATTTTGTTCACCCAAAAGTTTTTTTAATTAAAAAAATAAAAATAGATTTTTTTAGCAGTTTGTATACAAATAAGAATCTTAATTATGTTTCTATTGCGGATGAAATAATTAGAAATTACAATCTAAGCTAAATTGTCGCCCCGTTGATTTTTTATAAATTTTACAAAAATATTTTTTTAATTTAAAAATTGAAAACAGATTTCTTAATAGAATTTGTATATATTCATTGCTCAAGAATTAGCATTCCCTGCAAAACACTACAGATACAAGTCATCAGAGTTATGGATGGCTTAAGACTTCATCCCATAAATCTTTACACAACAAGCCATCACAATGAACAGAGTTATTTCATCCTCGAAGATAGCTTTGAAGACGACGTTCATGATCCTGATGTTGTCCATCTAGACAAACACATTAAGGCAAGCTGCGTCTTCAACAAGCTTTAGTCATCTGATTACGTGCATTATCTCCTTAACAAAACAATAAGACTTAGTGCATGTTTGACGTTGTGATAGCTTAAAAGCTCCCCTGTAAAACGGAGCTTTGGTCTTCGGTCAAGAACATGGTCACTCTCCCACCAAAAGATATGCTCCTCCGTACAGTTATCATACCTTAATTCTGGAGTCTATAATAAAGGTTCAGCAAGCTATGACAAGATTTTAACATTGTTATAATATCATATAAAAAAAACAGGCAAAGGAATCCAAAGAAAACCTATATAGGAGTGCTTGATAATTTCTGAATTTGAAATAACATCGTAACATTTACAGTTGCAACAAAAAGAAAAAAAAGGATAAGCAAACACCTTTATATATATATCTTATATACTAAAGCGTATCTAGAAACATACTGCATGACAGTACTATGGACTTTTTCATATCCATGTTCTAAAATTAGCCTTGTAACATCAGAGAGGCTTCGACCCGTCCACCACAAGGGATCAGCCACTAAATATAAACCCAGTAGTTTCATCTTCCTCTCCTTTGGGGCTGGAAGTCAGAAAGGGTAACCTTAAAAGTGGTAGGTCTGCCAAATTGAGTGCAACAGGACCCCCCACTGCTATTAAAACTTCAAAAAACTACACCTCTCAAATTCTGCAAAATGGACATATAACAGATCACGATCCGAACCACAGCTAGATAAATGCTCTGCACCCAATAACAGAGCCGGGTTGTTTCTGGAAACTTCAATGACCGAACCCCGGAGCAGCAGAACGCAACAACTTAAGATTAATAAAAACAGAAAGTGGTAACACTACACAATCATAAAACAGCAAACAACACGTATTTTAGCCAAAGAGGAATGTCAAGCTTCGGTCAAGTATGGCTGCCAGTTGGTAAAGTTAACCCTATTGACAGTTAGGACTCACGAATTCACTTATCTCATCCATCACTGTATGGAAGTAATTGTTATTGGGCAACAAGTAGAAACCTATTGTTGCCTGCTCCAGATATAGAAGTTTCACATCTTGACCAGCCTTCTTGAGACCTTCAGCATATGTTATTTGCCGGTCATGAACAAGATCTAAGCCAGCCACCACTACAAGACTCTTAGGAAATTTCATTCCTTCAAGGCTTTTACCTTTTGGACCAAATGGATTACATGCTGGATGGTCCCTATCCTCTCTTTCAGGAAGAAATGCTCTCCAATACCAGTCTCGGTCTTGGAGAGTAACAAAATATTTGCCATCTAATCGCTTCTCTGATTCTGTTCTCTCTTGCCCGCCAAACATTGGGTTCAGCAGTATGTTTCCCAAAACATCAATTCCCGATTCTACTGCTCTTAAAGCAACATGGTGAACAATGTTACCACCAGAACTATCCCCAGCCAAGTATATATGAACTTTAGAATCTTTCTTGCTCTGGAGCCATGTTCTTGAATTAACCCACTTCAGAGCAGTCCATCCATCATCATAAGCACATGGGTATCGATTTTCAGGTGCACGCCTATAATTCACAGACACTACCACGGCCTTGCAAAGGCCCACCAGGCGTCGCCAGAGTGTATCATATATAGCACTGTTTGAAGAAGAGTGAGCAAAGCTTCCGCCATGAAAGAAGATTATGACAGGGACAACCTCCGAGTTGACAGGCTTCTCAAGGTCAACAATATTTGGTTGTGATTCTTGCGCATCAGCTCGTCTATAGATTCGACTAAGAAGGCTAGTCCCACGCTCAATGATAACATCAAATGAAAAAACCCCATCAACTGGATTCGCGTTAGCAGGAACTTTCCGGTCAAGGAACTCAGCCAAGTGGCGGTTGAAAGTCCCATCAGGACGACGAAGAAGATTGTAAGCCAGCTTGAAATTTGATATGAGGACCCATGTATTCAGGGGTACCACCCTCTAAGCAAAAAATGAAGGAAATCTTCAATTTTTTTCATTCCGAATAGCAAAATAGCACGCAAGTACAGAAGCATGAAAAACAAACTGACAAGTAACGCATTTATCCATAAAACCAAATCATATTCCCCAAACTAAATTGAAACGAAAAGGAACCAAGTTCAACATTTTGATGACCAAAATAAGACTTCAAAACCAGCAATCATGCGTACAACAAGCAAGAGCAACCTATCAACAAACTACTGTTATATGATCTCAAAACCCAAAACAACTTCAAAACACAGCAGCCTGAGAACCCAAATACTTTTCAACAAGCTGCCATCTTTCCAAAAAAAAGAACATAAAACCCCAAAATCTCAAACCACACAACCTACAGAATCCAAACTGCTTAAACATAGTCCCCAGACCCAATTTCCCTCACCAACAACACCAAAACCAAAAACCCCACCAAAAAAATATAAATTTCGCTTCAAATCCAGCTGATTTCCAGCTCCGAGTCACCAAAACACAAACAGCACAAAAAAACCATCAAAAGACAGCAACTTTGATCACCAAAAGAGTACAAAAATGTTAAAGAAAAAGGTACCTTGCTTTCATTGAGATTAACTCCATTACTTCCAGCCATGAAACTAGCACTTCTTTATCAACAGATTGTCGAAAAACAAAATCTAAAACTTCAATTTAGATCCTTTTTAAGAACAACTCGATTGAAACTCACTTCACATAATGAATCCAAAAACAAAAGATTTGATCTTTTTAGCTCTAATCCTCGTAGCTTTCATTTATTATCGAAGCTTTCAAGAGGCCAAGATATCAGATGGGTATCCTTCAAATTTGCAAAAATAACAAATTTTGAACACAGAGAGAGATAGTGGTGGCAATAAATGGTAAATAACACATTGAAGAGTAGAGATGTGTATGGGTGGAGGATAAGGGTGAGGGCGCATGATAGCAAGTGTGTTGACGTGACTGGTAGAGTGCGCATTAGGTGTGAGGTGGGAATATAGAGACGACAAAGTAAGCGGCCGAAAGATAACTGTTGTGTGGGACCCGGTGATGTAAGAAAATTATTTTGTTTTTTTGGAAATAATTTTTAGCATTTATGACGCAATAAAAAGAAACTAAAAAACAAAAGGAATAATTAAAAAAAGGAAGAAATTAGTAAAATGTGAGAGAAAGAACAAGACAAAAGCTTATGTGCGTGCGGCCGGCGCCAAGTCACGTGAGGACAAACGGGGTCCGTCTAGAACGCTTTTTCGCGGTCCCCTGTACCAGTTGCGGCCATTGTGGATTTGCGCTTTGTTTGGTACTGTTGTGGGTTTTTTTAGATTAATGTGAGTGTCCGGGCTAACTTGTACGCACTACGACTAATCTCACAAGCCCTGAAGTTAACGACCATGTAAGCCTTCAGTGACCATTATATGAGCAACCAAGGATTCGAACCTGAGACCACAGAGGAACAAACCCCTTAATCCCAAGTCCTTACCACTTAACCACCACCTAGATAGTTACTGTTGTGGAGTTTTGCTTTGCTGTGTTGTAGTTGTGTATACTTGTGTTAAGTTTTTTTTTTTAATGCAACAAGAAATATCTAGAAAGAAAATATTTAATATTATTATTAAACTATATTAATTTAAAATCTTGTAATTTGATTTATTAATTAATTTAAGTTTAAAATTAAATTGTGTATTGTGAATCAGTCAATTTAGTTCAAAAATAATTTAATTAATTAATTTTAAAAATATAATATTAAAAATAAAAAAATATTAAAATACCAGATAAAAAAAATTCAATATCCTATCATGACCCAAACAATTTGATAAATTCAGAAGTAATCTTATTGACCAAAAAAGAAAACTAATGACAGTAATTAGAAATAAAATTAAAAAATTAATATGAAAAACTTTTTTAATATAACACTTTTTTTAGTTCAAACTTCAAATTAAATTATATAAAAAGTATTCTAATGTAATTCAATAAATTTTATTAGTTTAAAAATAACTCGAATAATTGTTTAAAAAAATAAAAGATGGAATTAAAAAAAATGAAATTAAAGTAAAAGAAAAATAAAAAATAAAAAGGGAGCTGAATTTAAATAAAAAAATTATTTATATAAAAGATAAAACTCCGTGAATTTTTTAGAGTTTTTTAATATAGCATGATAATTGTTGTTTTTTTTTAATATAGCATGATAAAACTCCGTGAAATTGTTATTTATATAAAAGATAAAACTCCGTAAATAAAAGATAAAATGACCTGGACATTTGTCTAATGCAATGCCACTGCACTTTCAACGTCATGTAAAACAATGACTGCTCTATTGTATTGATATTATGAAAAATACTTACAGCTAGGTATATTAATTTAAATAAAAATTAAAAATTAATTTTTTTATAATATTTTCTAACCACAGCGCCAACCACTCTCTAAAAATTAATAATGGAAAGAGGAGGTAGAGAGAGAGAGAGAGAAATCACAAGTCTTCTCCCTTCATTTATCTTTCTCGTGGTTGCTAGACTTATCTAGAGACTAGCTCCGAAAATAAATCTAGATTGTTGAGCTATCCATCAATGCTATGCAATTATATGGTGTATACATGCACGATCGTACCGTGACAAAATAGACTTGTTATCTTATCTACTCCAGGACTTTATCCGGTGCTTGTGAATATGCAATCAATATAAAAAAAATTGAAAAATGGGTTATAAAAAAGCAAAAAAAACAATTATCATACAATCTTATAGCTTAGGTATTTTTGTAATTGTTCTCTGTACTTTCAAAAATTATAGTTTATATTCTTGATGGGTGTAAAATTAATAGACTATATTATAAAATGATATAGGATGTAAATTAGAAATTTTAAAAGAAAGTGGATAAATATAAAAATAACTAAAATATAGAATAATCAGGAAATCTTTCCTATAAAAGTTAATATTTTTTCATAATTTTTTCAAATACGTGGGAATTTAAATGTGAAGGAAAAGGTTAGTGTAAATGGATGGATGGTACGACTTTTATCATACCAAGAGGTCCCCGCTTGATGCAAGATTGGATTCATTAAAAACATTATCAATTTTAATTTATTGATTTCTAAAAAAAATAAATAATCGACTGTCAGAATAAAAAAGGGGCTTCAAGAGAAGATTAGATCATCCCAAATTATTATTATTATTCCCATTACGGGACACTTCTTTTAAAACAGTACTCCTGTTGATTTCACAGAGACACCGCTCATCAAAACTGGCTTGATTTTTATTTTTTATCGAGAGAGACAGGTGGAAAGCAGGTGAATTTCTTGTGCTCTTATCCATAACCCAATCCTGAAATTTCTCACGTGCAAGCTTGGTTTTCAGATCCGGCGCATAAATTGATTAGGAACAGAGTTCCCCGATTATGGAGGTGACATCTGGGTGTCTGTTATTGGGTTAAATAATAAAATAATTATAAATACTCTTGTTCTTGTAGTAATATTATTTTAATATATTTTTAAATAAAAAATATTTTAAAAAATAATTTTTAGTAACTACCTCAATTTCAAATATTACATTAGCTTCGTATCAATTATTTTAACCAAAACAAAATTATTTTCTTTTATTTTTTAAATTATAAAAGTTAATTCAATGGATTAATTTAAATTTTATAAATTTTAAATAATTAAAAATTTATATAATTATTAATTTTAAAATTTATAAAATTAATTAAAATATATATAAATTATTCTGAATATTTATTTTAATAAAAAATAAAAACAAAAAAGATATTTGTATCTATATATAGTCCCATCCTAGTAAAGGTGTTGGTATCTATACATAGTCCTATTCTAATGCGTAGCTATATGTTTCATATGATTGAAAATTTGTTAGTTTTTATATTTTTTTTAAATAAATATATTTATTTTATTTTAAAAAATATTATAATATTACAAATAAACTTTAAAAATAAAAAATATTATTTATAATATTATAAATAAACTTTAAAAATAAAAAATATTATTTTAATATATTTATAAATAAAAAAACATTTTAAGAAGTAATAGTTACAAGAATACAAATGAAAAATAGCCTCTTCTCTGGAGATGATATGGGATTTGGGACCCACAAATGGATATGTTCTTCTATTATTTTCTTACTGCATGGGAGTTACTGCCACCGTCCATCAGGACTTGATTGGCTGCAAAGCAAGGTTAATTCATGGGACCCATGAGTCCATGACCAATCAAGAAAAGAAAGGCCTGGAAAGCGTGCACACTTGTGCTGCCGTGTCCTTCCCCTGCTTTTAACAAAGTACACCATGAGTACTTCGAGAAAGTTACAACTTTATGCAACTTGCACCGAGTTTTTCTCTTATTTATTGGGACGGTGGACCATTTTTTTTTTTAAATTCTTTGTTTTTAAAGGGGATGGAAATTGAAATAATTTATTTGTCTGGATAAAAATGTCATATTTTTTAAACTTGTTTGGGATGCAGTTCAACTCAACAAATCAATTTTAAAATTTAAAATTTAATTCAAATTAGATTTTTAATTGAATTAAATTAGACATTAACTTTACAAAACTTGGCTGATTTTATTGGGTTTTTAATAATTATATTGATGTAATCAAACCCTATTTAAATTTAATTGCATCAAAAATAAAAATAATTGATTTAATTACTCTAGTCTTTTTTTTTTTGCAAAATTAAGTCTCAGAGAGTCAGCTGTGAAAAATGCATGTAATGAAAACAAAAGGACGAAATGCTTCTGGAATTACTTGGCGTGGAACAAATTGAACCAAGAAGATGTAGCACGACAAGGAGGACATATGCCCTGGAATCTTTTTTGCTATGATGTTTTTCTAAGAAAATTATTGAATTTTCAATGCTATATGAGATTTGATGGTGCACCAAGTACTTTTTTTTTTGTTGTGAGATATTTAAGTTAATTTATATATATTTTAATTAATTTTTTTAATTTTTAAAATTAATAACTGTATAAGTTTTCAGGGTTGTCAATATACTTTTTTGGTTTTTTAAGACACCAAGTATTAATTTCTTAGATTTTTTGATATTTTAGTTTATATTTTTATATTTTTTCAAAAAATTATAGTTTTTGTTCCTCTTTATGGAAATGATGTATTTCGCACAAGTAATTATAAGAACCTCAACAGTGTATGAGATCTGCATACTTTCCATGACACGTCAGGAATAAATTTTTAAATTTTTCATACTGTGGCGATTATGAAATTTTTACAGTAAATAAAGTTGTGAATCCCACATTGTAATATATTAGAAATTCACTATGTTAAATGCTGTATATTTAATTTTAGCTGGATCGAGCGTGGTAATATAACTTTTGAGTGTAGTGGATACAGAGGCCAAGGCTAGTGGTTGAGGTAATAAAAGAGAATAAATGTATTTGAAATATTGATGCACAATACATTTTCAATTCCTTTAAAGTGTCAAAAATTATTTTTTTAATTAATATAAATATTTGAATTAACAGAAACACGCTTAATTAATTTTACAGATTCTAAAATTAACCATTAATTAAAGGTTATTATATTAACAACTACAATACTCAAACTTAAAATCATAAGAAAAATAAACTTTTTGTTCCTAAACTTTTATTATCAAGGCGCTATCATATGGTTAAAAATTAATTTAAAAATTTTAAAAATTAATTTTATCTAAAATAAAGGGTTAAATTTTAGATTTTATTTGGAATTTTACTCAGCAGTTAAAAATGCAATTCTTTACAACTACATAGTGTTACTAAGATACTGTTCCTCGTTGTTGCATGATAAAAAAAAAACTACACATATATATATATATATATATACAGAAAAAGAAAGGACATAAACATATCTAAGTGAAAAATACAAGAATGAAGTTGTAAAATAAATATATTAATGAAATAGTTTTATAATAGATTTTTACATTCTTAAACTAAAATATATACAG